ACGCCTTCCCCGGTTACTTCTTCGTTCACTTCCACCGTCCCCAGGACGACATCCGTTGAAGTCATCGTGGAACACGAAGAGCAAGTCGTCCACGAGGAACCGATCGAAGAAGAGGAGTACTTCGAGGAACCGCGCAGGAAGGTCGTCCGGCGGCCTGTTTCTCCTCCCCAGCCTCCTGCGTACCCGCCGGCTCAGTACAGGCCGGCTCCGGCGCGATGGTGGTGAAGCGACGTTGGGACGATGACGACCGTGACGCGATGCCTGGGTTTTTGTATTCAATATCTCCGACCCCTTTAGTTTCTTTCTACTGCCGCTACAGAGTGGTCCATTGGTATCCTCGAGCTCTAACCTCTTGATTCGAACTTGTGTTATTCTTCCATCTTCATCTTGTTTACCCCGCGACACCTTGTTTCAATACTTACGCTTACGACACTGACGATGCATGGAAGGGCAGCGCTACTTACGGTTACGGCTTGCACACGAACGACGGATACTTTGGCCTGTAGAATATATCATGATAGCTATTTACCTGTAGCGGAATATAGCGGCACAGGATGTTGCGAGCGATAGATTGACCGAGCCTGGCTGCAGCAGTGAAGCTAGTGAATATCGAGCGCATTGAGCTTGCGTGGATTGAGCCGGGCGCATGGTGTTTGTGCGTGTTTGGCGTGCTGTTTTTCGACGCGTCACGTCGCGAGCGTTCTTGCACCAAAGCATTGCTCACGCTTTCCTTCTCTGGCTCGTCTGCCATGGCCTCCCCCGTCCCGCCTCAAAAGCACTTTGGAGGGGACATCGCTTTCGTGCCTTCGTCGTCCTCGTCAGCTCCCTCGTTCCCCGCCCTTTCACCCTTGCAGAATGCCTACAACCGGTTCTCCACCTGGCGCAGCAGTCTGGGGCTCACCAACCCAGGCTCGGTCGAGAACCTCCAAAAAGAAGTCAAAAGTACGCATCCTATCCTCTGCTTCACGGTCGTGCATACTTACAGGGTGGCTGCTCAACAGACACGCATCTGACGAACTTCATTTTCGATGGCGCGCGCGCCGACCTGATGAAGGGCCTATCCATGGATCCTGCCTTCCAAGTGACACACTCCTTCTCCTTGGCTTCTCAGACCATGCCCCCATCATATTCCTTTGGTGCCGTCTTTGCCAACCAACAGGTACGCGTGCTGTCAGTCCTTGTGACCTGGCACGTTCCTAATGCACCTATCAAAGCTCTTCTTGCAAGGGAACGTTGACCACGATGGGAACCTGAGTGGGCGGTTCAACCAAGGCTGGTCACCAACTAACGTCACGAAAATGCAGATGCAGGTGATTGTGTTGGCTCGTTTTCGTCCCTTTCGTTCACTGACACTGGCTCCAGTTGGGGACAACACCGGGGCATAGCATGATCCAGCTAGAGCACGACTATCAGGGTGCGGACTACAGTCTTAACGGGAAGGTGATCAACCCGTCCCCGACAGACGGTTCTGGCATCTACGTGGGGAGCTACCTCCAGTCCGTCACACGGAATCTGGCGCTCGGCTTCGAGACGCTACACCAACGGTCGACGCCAGAGTTGACGGAGACGAGCACCTCCTACGTCGCGAAGCTAATGGGTACGAACAGCGACTGGATCGCAACCGCACACATCCAGCCAATCGGTGTGCTGCAGGCCACGTACTGGCATAAGCTAAGCGAGAAGGTCGAGGCCGCTGCCGATTTGCAACTTATCGCGGCGCCGCAACGGCGGGACGCGATAGCAACGCTCGGCGCGAAGTACGACCTGCGCATGTCGACGTTCAGGGCGCAGGTGGATTCGACGGGGAAGGTGTCTGCGTTGCTGGAGCAACGGTTTGCGCCGACGTTCTCGTTTACGGTTGCGGGTGAGATTGACCACTTCAAGGTGCGCATACGTTACCTACCCCCTTCGTCGCTTCCTTGACTCACATCGATGCTCTGACATTTAGAACGCCGCCAAGGTCGGTGTGGGTGTGATGATCGAGAGCTCGAGCTTGACCCCCGAGGAGATGGGGATGATGATGCCGCCAGGTCCACCGCCGGTCTAATTGCTTGTTACGCCTATCTACGCTAGAATAATGCATCGTGGTCGGACTCGTCATCATCGTACACCCTGTCTCGGTCATTCTCGTTCACGTCTGTCCATATCCTACAATCCCAGTTCTCTTAGTAGCGCCTGCGCAGCCAGATGTCGGGCACACGGTGGGCAGTACCGTGGGACCGGTCTTGCCCTGCATATCCATCGACTTCCTCTTGATGTTTGAGGTATGCGAGGAAGCGGTTGCATGATGGATGCAGAATTCGGAGTTCCATGATGAGGGCAGTGGACGATTGGTCAGCCAATCCGAGCGCAGATATCCTGCGGGTCTGCAGCTGATGTTCCGCACCCTCTCCTATTTATCCCTCGACAAACCGGTCCTCCGCTTTCCCCTCCCTCTATCCCTCCCTCTTTCTCGCCAATCAGCGACGCACCTGTCCGCACGCAATGGCGGCCGCACAGCCCGAGACGTCCTCCCGATTTACAAATCCGCCGGGATACTCGTTTCCACACCACCGCCTCTCCCTCGTGCAGCGGTTCCCCGAAAAGCAGCCCATCGTGCTCGTAGCATGCGGCTCCTTCAGCCCCATCACCTATCTCCACCTCCGGATGTTCGAGATGGCCGTGGACTACGTGCGCCAGAACACTGATTTCGAAGTCATGGGCGGCTACGTGAGCCCCGTCAGCGACAAGTACAAGAAGCCCGGCCTGCTCAGCGCAAAAGATCGGTGCGTGTGCACTCTTCGTGTGCTGCGAGTGCTGGTGTGGATGGAGTGCCGCGGAGAGACGGACGCCGGCTGACAGGTCGGATGCAGCCTTTTTATATTTGAATGGCTGCACGCTGTCGGCTGTCGAGCGTTTCTGCCACGTCCCAGGCGCGGCCTGCTTCCAGATCTCCACGTTTCTCGCTTCCTTCTTTGGATTATCCGTCAATCTTGCGCAGAGCGAGTGAAGATCTGACATATACTCCACAGCGTGAACATGTGCACTCTCGCGACCGAGCAGACGTCGTCATGGCTGATGGTCGATCCGTGGGAGGCATTCCAGTCGTACCAGCGCACCGCAGTCGTGCTGGACCATTTCGAGCACGAGATCAACACCGTCCTGGGCGGTGTGCAGGGCCGCCATGTCCGCGTCGTGCTGCTCGCAGGATCGGACCTCATCAGTACCATGTCTGAACCGGGCGTCTGGTCCGAAAACGATGTGAGCCGACCTCACATTCCCCGCTCGTCTTCCTAACCCTACGTTAGCTGGACCACATCCTTGGCAAGTACGGCGTGTTCATCGTCGAACGTGCAGGATCGGACATGGACCAGGCAACCGAGGCGCTCGCGCGTTGGCGACACAATATCTTCTTCGTGCCACAGCTCATACAGAACGACGTGTCCTCGACAAAGGTCCGCCTGTTCATCCGCCGTGGACTGTCGGTTCGCTATCTACTTCCCGCGGCCGTCGTTGAATACATCGAACAAAACCATCTGTATCTGGACGACGCGCCCGCACAGCAAGACAAGAAGGAGGAGGGGAGTTCGCGAAAGCTCGCTTCGTAGCGCGAGACATCCAAAACGGACAGAGGACATCAATTTAGTACAGTGTATGATTTCCGTGGAAGGCTAGGATGACGCATTTCCGATGTAGGATACTCTGTTGTGGATCACAGTGCTTCACCGGCCCTTCGATCTCTAACGCGATACCAGCTTGTAATGTAGGCATTTCGGAACCGCAGTGTGTTCGACAAACCCCGAATTTGGTGCGAGCTATTGACGAACTTTTGCTGGCCCTCGGGAGAGCTGCAGACCCTCGCGTGTGCTGTCACAGGAGGGCGGAGCTCGAAGATGGCGATGAATATTGAACAGTAACACAAGATTCAAACAAATCCTTTGATAAGCTGGTCAGCAGCTTCGCTGGGCACTTCAGTCTCCGTGGGTCCTTTGGGGAGTGCTGAAGGTTGCAGATGCACCTACTCGGTGTTCAGAAAGCCTTGAAAATAGAACTCAGAAGATACAAACCCATGTGGAGCCGAGACCCAAGCTGACGCAAAGCACCAAGATGGCGAGACTGTTGTATCCGGAAGAGTTGGACCGTCCTGGCGGCTGCCGCATCCCAGGGGTGCCGGTCAGGGTTGTTGTCATGCTGTCACTTGTCTCGCAGTCCACTAGTCTCCGTTGCTGACCTTTACAAGATGAAAATAGTCGTTCTTGTATTAATAGTAGTCTATCATCAATTTACTACTCAAACATATTATATCGTCGCATTCCACCACGTGCACGTCGTGTATGTCCTTGGTGCATAGGTGCCTTCTATCAATGGCACCCCGCCTACTGATTGTCTGGTATACTTATTTGCCCGTCCTTGTCGAATGACAGCAAGGTTTTGCGAGGTTGTCTACGTTCCATCTAAGCACGATCTTGAAGATCAAGACTGCGATACATAGACTTGCGATAGAGAACAAATATCATTCAAATGCAGATGATATCCTCGCTGACTTGGCCTAGCCAGGATAATTCCGTATGCGTTGAGAAGTTGCCGTGACCTGTGCTACACGCCCCAGGAGAGGGAATCACGAAAATGAACGAACTAGACGAGAGCGTGGAGCTCGGACGCATTGGTTCATACGTCTGTCGTTCTGCACGCTATTGGATGGATCCATGTGCATCTGCTGCTTAAAGTTATTTCTCCTCGGTCTCCACACTTGACCACCACCCTCCCTACCCATATCACTCACCCATAAACCGGCGCATCTCCCTCCACCTTACACACCACCCAACGTCTCCTCTTCGCACACGCGAGACCGCGTCTCAGATACCCTGCGTCTCGTTGTGGTATACAGATGCACAGTACAAAATATACTTGAAATATGTACCTGCTGCACAGGCGTGAGAGTTTCCGTCCTCATCCCAAACATTTTTGCTCGCAACTTTCCTCCTCTTGTCATGAGTTTCCTCAGGAGACCTCCTAGTATTGGACCTTTAGCTCAATCGGTAGAGCTTTGTACTTATGCGGCTGCCTGGCCCAGGCATTGCGAGAAACGAACTCCAATGTAAGATCATGCAAGGGTCCCGAGTTCGATTCTCGGAAGGTCCATTTTTTTTGGCACCTTCAGACGCAGGGTCAACAGTAGGCGTCTTTCCCTGATTTTCCCCTGATTTTTTATGATCTTCCATGAATTGTTCTGAGTTGTTCTTGATTTTTCTTCTTTGCAGTATCTGAGAATACACTAGTGCTGGCGCAGATGGATTCCATCTGGTGCCCCGGATGAGAGCGGGCGCTCTCATCCAGCTCGAGTTTCTCGATCGCGAAGTCACTCGCGTCTCGCGCCGTACGTACGTCATGGTGCCCCAGACACGCTGGTACTATTTCAAGAAGCACCGGACCGATAGAAGGTCAGGCATGAGCGAGGGTATTATCTACATCGAGTGCCAATGCTATTCAAGCCGTTTTCTATCGCAAACCGAGATACATTGTCGCCGTCTTGATCTTGGTTGCCTAGATGGTAAAACGTAGACAGCCTCGCATAACCTTCCTGTCTTTCGACAAGGTCGGACAAATAAGTATATAAACAGTAGGTGGGGTACCATTACAAAAGGCACCAAGGACGTACACGACATGCATATGGTGGAATGCGGTGATATAGTGTGTTAGTTGTAAATTAATGATAGACTTAGAGAATGAAAACATAACGACGTTGTAACAACGACCCTCAACTCGAGGGAGCGGCGGCCTCGTGCACCAGAGCCTCTGCACCGGAAGGATCCAACTGCTCAATATACTTCATGAACAGTGTCGCCATCTTGGCGCTGTGCAACAGCTTCGGTCGCACGTGAGTTTGTATTTCTAAGCTCTGCAGCCGCAAGAGCTCCTCAGTATCGGTACGGAACTGCCGCAGGAGGGGTTCCACATGTTCTCGGGCAGTGCGGATGATAGGCCGCTCCATGGCCTGGGCGATGACTTCGAGGGAAGGATAGGACGGCTGCGAGAGAGGCGCAGCAGCGATGGCCGCGACTGTCTCTGAAAGCGCGCGGATCTCTCTACGAGTGGTGGCGAGGGCAACGTTCTGCTCGGCCATCTTGGCCTCGTGCTGGCATGACAGGGACACGGTCAGTCAGGTAAGTTGAATGGCGGATACGCACACACATACCTCTACGATCGTCTCCTTGATCGCCTGGTTCTCCTTCGCAAGCCGCTCGTTCTCCTCCTTAGATTCGTTGAGCTTCCCGATCAGGTCGGCAATCTCCTTAGCCAGCTCCGTGATATCATTACCAGACTCTTCATATCTATCCTGGAGGACCTTCAACTGTTCTGCGGCTTGCTGTCCAATCTGGTCACTCGGCGCCGCCCCCGTGTCGTCCATACCCTTGATTTCGTCCACCTTGGCATCCAGACGACCTTCAAAGTCCTCAAGGACGTCACGACTGTGCTGCGTTAAATTGTTGTCAAGTTCCAAGACGCGGTCGTCGATGCTCCGTATACGATCGTGGAGCTTCTCGATGGCTTCCTGCATCCCGGCTGCTAGATCGTCGCGCGGTTCCTGCGACGAGTCGGACATCCGTCGACGCTTCGCTGGACGCGATGAGCCGCCTTCGGCGTCGACGTCCATCGGTGTGGATTCTCCGGTCAAGACCACCACTCCCTGACGCCGTAGATGCTGCGCGGCCACCTTTGTCAAACTGGACTGCAATTGGCTGACGCCGTCATGGAGGCCACTGAGCGACTCCCGCATGTCTTTCAACTTGCCATCGAGATTTTCGAGATTATGAGGGGAGAGCACCGGCCAGAATCCGGACTCCACAAGTTTCGTGATGAGGCCATTGAGGCTTTCTTTCTTCTCTTGGCTCTTGGCCACTGTATTGGCCAGTTCCGTGGTGACGGTGGCTCTGACCTCTGGTCCTAGCGCCTGATATGCCGACGACTCGACCTGGCGGCGCAGTTCGATGATTTTTCGCTCGAGTTTCTCAATCTCGAGCCGCTCGGTGACAGCTAACGCTGATAATCTGACCGGGAGTCAAGGCTGGACCGCCGCCTCAAAAGCAAATGAACACACCGTATCCGCTCATTCCACGCAGCAGTCTTCTCTTCCAACGTCATCTCCTTGGCGGTTGTGGGAGGTGGATGTCTGGCAGGCTGAGGTGGGGTTGTCGTGTTCACCGCCATTTGGTAAATGGCGGCCTGCGCCGGCGATAACGCAGGTGCAGCGGCGACGGACTGCAGGGAAGTAGATGAGGCGGATTGCATGGCGCGAGGCCTTGAAGGGTTGCGGACGTGTTGATTCGACGCGGTGGTTTCAAGAGACGGTCTTTGGACAGGAGGTGGCTCATGGCGAGACTGTTCAGGAAGAGGGGCTGCCCGAGCGTCTGCACGGTCTCCTGGAGCCGTTCGCGGATCACGGTGGGAGGAGTCGAGCGTCTCCCGGGACGATGTGCGCGCACTACGCCGACGGTACGAGGAGCGGTCATCGCGGCGGTCCCGACTGCGACTGCGACTGCGACGATGCCGTGGGGGACTGGAACTGTCGCGGTGTCGGCGTGGAGGGGTGCGACTTCCGCGGTGTCGGTAGTCAGGACTCCGACTATAGCGACGGCGTGAGTGGCTCCTGTCGCGGGCACGAGAGTGCCCGGGACTGGAATCGCGACCGGGGGTCCGTCTCCCTAGAGTGGACGGGCTGGGGGCGCGGTCGGCGTTGGAGAGTCGACGGGAAGATGAGCCTGGCGAATGTCCTCTGGGTTCTACGGGGCCTCGAGTCGAGGAGTATCTGAGATGTGGAGGGAGCCCCATGGCATTCGCAGCAAGTTTCCAGGCTGATTCTTCGGGATGCAGATAGTGACAGTCTGCCGTAGTCCGTGAGCACCCATAGCCCCCGTCTGCTCTGCGAACGGGTTCTCCGCTGTTCGTAAAGTACTATGGTGCACAGATTGCACCTGATCAGTATCCCGCAAACGAGTAAAAAGGAAGAACGAGACAGACATTACATCGGCGTGATTTCACCGCGCCCTTGGTTTTGTATGATCCCATTGCTCGTCACGATATGAAAGGGCGCGCCGAGAGCCTTGACAGTGTGAATGAGAACGGCGAGGTGGTCAGAAGGAGAGAAACGGCGTCCTTGAGGCTCCTTGAGGCGTGGAGAACGCGACTTCGGCCTTCGCCCTGTATGTCCTATCACACGTGACCAATGTCTCAAATATCCCCGGTATACAGCTATCGATACAAAACAATCTGTCATTCCTGTACAACTCTATCGAGAGCGACGTATCCCAAGCACGAAATCAGACAAGGTACAGTCGACTAAGGAACCGCCGGCGCAGAGTCTTCGTGAGTGCCCGTCGGTGTCAGATTCAGGAAACGCGTGCCGACGCGCAGAGCCTGTTCCTCAGAGTGAGTGATCCAGACGATCGCCTTCAGGGTCGTGTCGTGCGACTTGACCGCTGCAACGAGCGCCTTCTCCACCAACTCTGATGTATGCGCGTCGAGCGCCGATGTGGGTTCTACACTCACGGCAACGTCAAATGCAGCTGGGTCGCGCCTGATCAACATCGACAACACACTCACCATCAAGTAGAAGAACTTCTGCACAGTTCAGACCATATGGGATGACGAGCGCAAGCCGCTGCGCCTCGCCACCACTGAGTGTGTTCCACGCACGGTCCCAGAAGGACTCCTCGATCCCCCACTCCTTCGCGACTTCGATGGCGTGTTCGAGATTCAAGGTACTCGCGCCGCCTTGGTTCCGAATTCGCCTGGAATGGAATGTGGCGAGCGTGTCCATGAAGTCGCGCGGTGTCCCAGGAAGGAGTGACGGTCTCTGCGGTACATACTGGACATGCGTCCGGTAAGTGGGCACACCTGGCAGATCAAACATTGTGAAGCAGCTGGATTCGTCGGAGACAGGGATATATGGGTACCATAGAACCTCGGCGATCTGTAGCACGCAAGCGTGAATGGGAATCCAGGACTGCAGGGCCCGAGACACTAACAGCACTCACCTTCCTTGGAACTCTACCGCACCTTGGTAGAGATTCAGGTGGGCGAGGCACTTGAGTAATGTGGTTTTTCTGCAAGCTCAGCTATGTTAGCTGAATGTCTAGAGTGGTTAAGGCAACACTGGCGCACCCTGCACCGCTGCGCGCTTGTAACACAACGATATCTCCTTCGTTCACTGTGAACGACACATTTGTGAAGATAGGATCTCCTTCTGGTCGAGAGCACGAGATGCTTTTGACAGCGATGAGTGGTGTAGTCATACCGTGGTGAAGAGAAAGAATAACGGCGGTGTTGTGGGCGCCGACTTTAATGACCGCGATTCTCCGTGGTTCCCACGGTGCGCGGTCTCGAAGCTGCCGGAATCTTTCCGATGGTGCTCTCTTGCTCAAGCCTACTCAAGACTGGCCAGTACTCCGACTCGCAGTCAACTGTTAATATTGTACATGCATGCGCCCGCAATACTGCCTTGCACCCGACGGCCAAAGGGATGTAAGTGATGGGAATACCGTGATACTGACAGACATCGTCATACTCCCAGCATGATGCACAACGGATGTTTGAACGTCTCAGGAGAATGTTGTCCACTAGCACTCACCGGGTCGTCATGATCAAATTGGCGGCTGTGCGGCTCCCCGTCATCCTACGTCAATGCACTGACCTTACCACCCATTAAGATGGGAGAACCGCGCATCATGGAGCTTTTCTGAGACGATTCTCTCCGTAGTCTCCTCTGGAAGCGGAGGTCAGATCCGTCGCTGACCAGCGGCATGAACGACGAATGCACCTGTCGGAAGTTCGTCGGTCCAAATCAGAGTATGAGTATTTGCTTGAGTATTCCTCGCCGTTGCATGAACGACAGTCCGCCGGAACGGAATTCTTCAGCTTAGGATGATCCATTGACCATTCATTTGAAGATTAGATCCTCCTAAAGTCTTAGCCGTCAGCAGTAAAGGACATGTCCAAGTTGTCCTGTACTTGCGGCCCTATCAGTCGGGAAAATGTTTACTGCATCTGCACAGGATAAGTATTGTGCGCAGCAATGGCATTGTTATCGAGACGACCTAGAGTAGGTGAACCCGCCCGCTCACATCTCATAATGCGCGCCAAGA